TGGTACTAGTAACTGTGACATTCCTTTGGCAAATGAATTCAGATATTGTTTAAGATAATATATTGCTCTATCATTCACACTGTCACAAGTCAAATACAGGGAAACTCTATCATGCTCCTGGCTTGAAAACTCTCACTGGTTTGCTCTCAAAACTGAAGTCCAAACAATTTAGCATGATATTCACCACACTTCTATTCTGGATCACTCTGCTTTTCCACCCTGCTTTCATACATTCCTCACCCACAGAGAATATGCCTACTGCCCCAAACTCCCAGCAGAATGTACCATTGCCCTTTGGCATATGTTACCCTTCTAAAACCTGTTCTTTTTTTCACAAAGCACGCTTCAAAGGCAAACTTTTCCATAAAAATTTCCCAAATCTTTTAGGTTAGGGGTCCCCAACTTCCAGGCTGCAGACCGGTACAGGTCCGTGGCATCTTAGGAAACAGGTCATGGGGCAGGAGGAGAGTGGAAGTTGAGAAGCACTACCACCTGAGCTCTGCCTCCTGTCAGATCAGCCCGTACATTAGATTCTCACAGGAGCTGGAACCACATTGTGAACTGCACATGTGAGGGGATCTAGGTTGTGCGTTCCTTATGAGAATCTAATGCCTGATGATCTGAGGTGGAACAGTTTCATCCCAAAACTGTATCCCATGCCCCCACCTCAGGCTGCAGAAAAACTGTCTTCCACAAAACCAGTCCATACTGCCAAAAAGTTTGGGGACCACTGTACTAGGTAATAATTAATCAACTCCTCTCTGACTTTGTTCATGTTACTATTACTATATTTCTTTCTATTTTGTATTATGATTAACTGTTTGCCTCCTTACTTTTTAAAACTGAAACTCCATGCCAGGAACCATCTCACCACTGCACTTCAGCCTGGGCAATAGAGGGAGACTCTGTCTTACAAAACAAAACAAAAAACACTGGATTCAACTTTGGCCGAGTATAGTGGCTCACACCTGTAATCCTAGCACTTTGGGAGGCTGAGACAGGGAATCACTTGAACCCAGGAGTTCGAGACCAGCCTGGGCAACATGGCAAAACCCTGTCTCTACTAAAATTAGAAAAAATTACCTGGGCGTGGTGGTACATGCCTGTAGTCCCAGCTACTCAGGAAATGGAGGTAAGAGGATTGCTTGAATCCCCGGAGGTTGCAGTGAGCCAAGACTGCCACTGCACTCCAGCCTTGATGACAAAGTGAGACTCTGTCTCAAAATAAAAAAATAAAATAAATTGTGACAGGGTCCATCCTGTGAGGTGAGATGTAACATATGAACGCTTACCTTTGGCAGAGTACAGAAATGGCAGTAGTAAAAAAATGTAAGGAAAAAACCACGCAAATTTTAATTCAAATTATTTAAGACCAAATGTGAGCTAGCATGACAGCTGAGAATCCCTGACATTCCCAGAAGAAGGGTCTGCCTCCACTAGGCAAGGTCTTTTTCCACTGGACTCCATCTGGTGCTCCAGAGGAAGACTGCAGGCAGGCCAGGAAGCCTAAGAGAGAAACCCTTATGGATGAAGACAGATGTACAGAATCTGACAAAGTTTAGGCAAAGATCATCCATGTTCTAGACCTTGAACAAGCACAAGATGAAGATTAGGTGATATTGTAGAACAGACACAAATCTGCCTATATTCCAGATTCCTCTCTAATACAAAGCAAAAGCTGTCTGCCACTGAGGAAGAGGCAAAATCCTTCGCCCACTTTAGTCCCAGGCAAAGGATGGCTGTTGCTAAAAGAAAAGTATAAAACCTAGCTATCCCCATATTTAATAAGGCAATGTGCCATGTGCACTAGAAGAAAGGCAGAGCACGACTGCCATTTCCGTGCTCTGCCAAAGGTAAGAGTTCATATATTACATCTCACCTCACAGGATGGAGCCTGTCACATTTTATTATTTTTATTTTTATTTATTTATTTTTTTGAGATAGAGTTTCACCCTTGTTGCCCAGGCCGGAGTGCAATGACACGATCTAGGCTCACCACAACCTCCGCCTCCTAGGTTCAAGCGATTCTCCTGCCTCAGCCTCCCCAGTAGCTGGGATTACAGGCATGCGCCACCATGCCTGGCTAATTTTTTGTATTTTTAGTAGAGATGGGGTTTCTCCACGTTGGTCTGGCTGGTCTTGAACTCCCAACCTCAGGTGATCCGCCCTCTCAGCCTCCCAAAGTGCTGGGATTACAGGTGCGAGTCACCACGCCCAGATTATTTATTTTGAGACAGAGTCTCACTTTGTCATCAAGGCTGGAGTGCAGTGGCACAGTCTTGGCCCACTGCAATCTCCGGGGGTTCCAGCAATCCTCCTACCTCCATTTCCTGAGTAGCTGGGACTACAGGCGTGTACCACCATGCCCAGCTAATTTTTTCTAATTTTAGTAGAGACAGGGTTTTGCCATGTTGCCCGGGCTGGTCTCAAACTCCTGGGCTCAAGTGATCCACCTGTCGCAGCCTCCCAAAGTGCTGGGATTGCAGGTGTGAGCCACTGTACTTGGCCAAAGTTGAATCCAGTGTTTTTTGTTTTGTTTTGTGAGACAGAGTCTCCCTTTATTGCCCAGGCTGAAGTGCAGAGGTAAGATGGTCCTGGCATGAAACAGTTTACATTTTGCTACTGAAGAATGCAGCTCTAGACTCTATACTAAGTAGATGGAGAGACTATCTGCTCCTGGGGGAGGCAGAGAAAGACTCACACCTGAAGCACAGGCATCCTGAGCCTGTTTAAGACTAATGCCGGAGAAGAACCAAGGATCCCACTCTGTCCCCTCCAAAAGCCTTGCTCCAAGTAACAAGCAATAGCAATCTAATGCTGTAGGAAGGGCAACAGGGAGAACTATCTTACCTCTCTCCCACCCTCAAATGTGGCACAAGCTGGAAGATGAAGTTGTAGCAGTAATGCTGAGACAAAAAAATCATATTACTCCAGACCTCGCTTTTAAACACAAAGTATTGGCAGTCCATCTCTGTAAGAGTCTGAAGATTGCGGTGTACCGATGGTAATTACTGCAACCACAAACACTCAAAACTCTTCTCAATTACTAACTAGACTGACCAATACCTGTTCACACTAACACCCTGACAGAAGTAGAGGCATGCCTATTTCTGGGTAGAAATATTATGTACTTCCGTCCCTGCCATTCTTTTACAATGTCTGATATTCATTCCAAAATTATAAAACACATACAAAAACAAGAGATTAAAACAGTCAACAAAACCAGACCCAGAGACAGACCAGATATTGAAACTGACAGACATTACATAATAACTATAATTAATATGTTTATGGATCTACTGGGGAATTTTATCAGAGACAGAAACTTTCTTAAAAGGAAAATGAAAACATTAGAAATTAAAAATGTGAAGAAGTCCTTTACTGGGGCTTATCAGCAGAATGAACACAATGAAGAAAAAGGGTGAACCCATAGAAAAATCAGTAAAAACTATCCAAACTAAGAGAGAAAGAGTCGGGGAAGGGCAAAGCAATCAAGAAGTAAGACAACTAGCAAATGGTCTAATATATTTTTACTTGGAGTCCTAAAAGTAAGAGTGAGGCAAAAGAAATATTTGAAGAGATAATGAGCAAAAATTTCCTAAATTTAATGACAGGCAATAAACCATATATTTAAGAACCACTGAGAAACCAAAGCGAGATAAAAATAAAGAACACCACAACTAGGGCCATTACAATCAAACTGCTGAAAAGCAGTGATAAAGAGATAAAGAAAAAATATTGAAGACAGCAATTAAAAAAAGAAACATTACATACAGAGAACAAAAATAGGAATGACAGCAGACTTCTCACCAGAAACTATGGGAGCCAGAAGACAACAAATCATCTTTAAAATACACAGAATAAAAAAATGTTAACCTAAATTCTAAACTCGTACACCACAAAAAAAGTTTAAAATAACCATTGCCAGCAAAACTGAATAATGAGAAATTTTAAATAAACTTCTCCAGGCAAAAGGAATTAATCCAGTAGGGCATCAGGCGCCGAGCAACCTTCTCTGTAAAGAGTCAGTTAAGTGAAATGGTGTAATATTATCTGAAGGTGGACCAATGATAAATTAAAGATGTATACTGAAAACCATATAGCAACCACTAAAATAAATAAATAAATAATAAGCCAATAGTAGAGATAAAATTGAAGCATAAAACACACACACACACACACACACACACACACATACACACATACATACACAAAACACCTTGGCCGGGCACAGTGGCTCATACTTGTAATCCCAACACTTTGGGAGGTCAAGGTGGGTGGTGCTTGAGGTCAGGAGTTCCAAAACCAGTCTGGGCAACATGCAAAACCCCATCTCTACTAAAAATACAAAAATTAGCTGCTCATGGTGGCACACAACTGTAGTCCCAGCTATTCTGGATGCTGAGGCATAAGAATCGCTGGAACCCAGGAGGTGGAGATTGTAGTAAGCGGAGATCGTGCCACTGCACTTCAGGCTGGGCGACAGATCGAGACTGTCTCAAAAAAAACCCAAAAAAACAACAAAGAAACCCACCAAAAAACCAAAACCCAAAATGAAGAATACCTCAACCCAAAAAAGGCAGGAAAAGTGGAAAAGAAAATCAAATGAATAGCAAGGTGATAGATTTAAACCCAACCATATCAATTTCATTAATTTAAATGGTCTATACTTTGATTATAAGGCAGAGATTATCATATTGAATAAAGAATCAAATACTGATAGTTATAGGAACACTACAGAAACTAGAAACAAAGAGCTAAAATGATAAAAAGACTAATCTAGGTACCTATAGTAGACAAAACATAATTCTGCTAAATTTATATCAATATTTAAGAAATTTTAAAACACCTCAAGCAAAAATAAATGATGAACTAATATAATTCAGTTCAGCTGAAGTGATTTGACTTGACTACTTTTTGTCTCCCCGGTTTGCAGATATTTTAAGGGCTCCATGTTAATTAGTTCCCCCACTTCCCAAATATAATTCATAAACACTGACCTTGCCATGGCTTCTTTCCACTTTCTGAAAACATTTATTCAGGGACAGATTATGTCGAACAGAATTCTTCCAGCCTGTTGGTGCAGTAGCAAAATATGGAAAATGGTCCAGAATCCAGCTATAAATTTCTTTGACAGGCAAACATTTATTTGGAGAGTGCTCAATAGCCATATAAATGAGAAGACTAAAGGAGTATGGGGGCTTTGAAGTTGCTGATTTTTTTTCTGTGTTCTGGTAGCAAGCTGGTCCAAAGGATGGCACATCATCTCCCTCTATGTCATACAATGGACTAACAATTGGAAGACCCTCACTTCCGAGGCTGAAGTTTGTTAGAAGATTAGTACTTTCATGAAGCCAGTTCAAGTTTGTGAGCTCATCATCTGCTGACTCACTGTCCACTAGAGTGGCCTTTGGCCTGGCAGCATCAACAGCTTCAGGCAAGCTTCCCATTTTGTAAATCTGGCTTAATCCTGCAATCTTTTCAGCTCCTGGGGTTTCAGCTCTCTTATCTGGAGTCATTCCAATTACTGGACCCATTTACTCTTATAGTTCTGCAACAAAGGAAACAATTATCAATGTAATACTTTAGAATCTTAAACTCTGGGAAAAAGAAAATACATATGTAAATATCCCCAAATCAGAGAAATTTTGCTATCAATTATCCCACATAATATTTAAGCATCACATTTGTATAATGAAGATACTACTGGTTATAAAACAAGGAAAATAACTTATATTAGTTGAAATGGCTGTAAATAAAGTGCAGCTTTATAGGACCAGGTGTGTGGGTGATAGTAACACAATTAAATAATGCATTTTAAATACTTAGTACTTAAGCACCTAGCCCACACTAATCGCCTAATAGGAAGTAGCTATTATTACTTAAAATGGACAGGCTATTTCTTTGAATTCTAAGACTTCATATGTATCTTAAAAATCTATGATTTTACAAATAGTTGAATCCTGAAAATAATACATTTGAAATATTATTTAAGCAATATTTTAAAATAAACTCTTTCCTCAAATCTCAACTATTTACTATAAAAAGAAACTATGTATACTATTTTTACAGCATATCATACTAAAAAGAGATAACATTTTTATTTCATTATTTATTTTTCATTGACAAATAATAATTATACATATGGGGTACAATGTGATATTATGATACATGTATATATTGTGAAATGATTAGCTCAGGCTAATTAATATATCCATCACCTCACATACTTATTTCTCTTTGTGGTGAGAATATTTTAAATGTTCTTTTAGGAATTTTGAAATATACATTATTATTAACTATAGTCACCATGCTATGCAATAGGTCACTAGAACTTACTCCTCTTGTGTAACCATAACTTTGTAATCTTTGACTAACATTTCCCCTTTCCCTACACCCTCCTCCTACCCTCACCACCCATATCTGGTTACCAACCATTCTATTCTATACTTCTGTAAGTCTAACAAGATAACATTTCTTATTCACTAAATTTATTATTAGCTAAATTAAATTCACTATAAGTTTATCATTTCTTTTTAAAATTCCAGTACTTTTAAACTCTGCATTCTATATCATCTCAAGTACTAACATTTCAAGGCTGACATTCTCTTAGTAAGGTCTGAACTGTCCCTGTACTTTCAAGGAGAGCGAAAAATAGCTGTTACTATTCTTTTTTCATTTCTGTTTTCTCAAATGATTTTTGTTTTGCATTTTAAACACCATTCTATTCAAAAACTTTATCATGAGAGAATAACAGACCAGAGAAGAAAGCAATAGGCTAATGTGCTATTTAATTAATTTTCAATGGCTCACAAAGATAACTCATTTCTAAACTCAGTGAAAAACCAACTATTATCCTATTCAACCCACTTATGCTTGTGTAACTGAAATAATTGGGGGGAGGGGGTACCTCCAGAGTTTTATTTTGCTTAGAACATAGATGGCAGGTTACTTCAAGAATTCTGAAAACCGGCTAATTTTATTTTATTTCTATTTTTTATGTCAGTTATGTAAAAGAGAAAACTGGTTAATTTTAGATGTAGAACAGTTTATCTGAATTCTGGGAGCTACCACCAGAAGTAGTTAGCCTCAGAGCACTCCATTAGCAACAGCCTTAGATAATACTTTAGCGCCCAGGCATTCTGCTAAACAATTTACATATGATATCTCAATTAACTGTCAATTAAATCCTATAAGGTAGGCACTATTATTAATTCAACTTTATTGATGAGGAAAATTAATCAGAGAGGTTAAGCATAAGTGGAACTGTCAGAATTTAAAACCAGGCAGACTGACTCCAGAAACAAAATTCTAACCACAATATGTGCTGGCAACAGTATGTACACAACACCTATGAGCACCAATGACTCAAATCCTATTCATTTTAAATCTTAACAGCATTCTTTCCATATCCAGTTCTTATCTCTCTCCTGTGCACCCATAACTTGAAACATCACGACACTGTAAAAAGGAAAAGATCAAACGATAACAGATTTGGTTTCTGTTTCAATCTCTTATGAAAACCACATACATAAGCATTCACATATATGAGCACACAATGTATTTCAGAACTGATATCCTGTACTATATAAGTGATCAAATTATTCATTTTATCACCAAAGTCTCTCTATTCACAGGGACTTAAAAACATGATGAATGAGAATTGGTTAAATAGTGTCTTGCTTCCTTAAAAAACAAACAAAAAAACCCACTCTTTGGTGTACCCAGTGTTCAATTAAAGAAGGGAGTGATTAATTTCTAATGTTTCACTTTTGCCTTGTCACTTAAATCTCCATTCATCTGTCATTACATCTAGAAATTAGAAAATACCAGACAGCAGTGGCTAACATTTGCTGAGATTTTACTACATTACAGATTCTATGTCATAGGCTTTAAAATGCATCATCTCTACTTACTCTGAACTACTCCTTAGTTCAATATATGTCCTTCCTTTCCAACTGTGAATTCCATGAGGAGTAAGTCTTTTTTTTTTTTTTTTTTTAAGAGACAGGGTCTCACTCTGTCACCCAGGTTGTAGTATAGTGGCGGTATCATGGCTCACTAACCTCCACCTCCTAGGTTCAAGCGATCCTCCTGCGCCAGCCTCCCAAGTAGCTGGGACTACAGGCGCACACCACCATGCCCAGCTAATTTTTAAATTTTTTATAGAAACAAAGTCTTGCTATGGTTGCCCAGGCTGGTCTCAAACAATTGGCCTCAAGCAATCCTCCCTCCTCAGCTTCCCAAAGTTTTGGGATTACAGGCATGACCCACCATGCCCAGCTGGGATAAAAGTCTTTTACTTTTGTATTCCTAATGAATCTTATCAAAATGTTGAGTATGAGTAGACACTCAAATCATAATTATTTCAGACGGAAATGAACTCATAATACAAATTGTATGTCTATTCTATAAAATGCTGCACTAACTGCCTTTAAGAGTTAATTTATTTTAGAAATGAATGCTTAATGGTAGGAAACATCCTAAGTGGTAACAATAAAAAAAACTGAAATTCATTGTTAAGAATAAGGAAATGGAAATGAAGTAAGCCATTTCCCTAAGGTACTAAAGCTAATAAAAAGCAGAGCCAAAATTATAAACAAGGCTAAGTTCAATATTCAAATTTCTGGCCATTACAGTCACTCTCAATCGCTCAAGTAACTTACATTTTTAGCAATACTGCTTAAAACAGAAATAGTGCGTTTTATTAACGTAACATACTCAAAAAATCAGTTTCTTGATAACTATTGACTAAATTTTCTCATAAGTAATTTAAATGGTTGCAAGTATGTTATTCCTCTGAATTACAAGTTTATAATAAAATTTCATTACTTTAAGATGTAAAGAAATAGTATGGCAACAAATATGCCAAAGAGTTACACAGTGTTAATCCAAGCAAAGTTTAAAAAACCAAGTACTGACATTATTAAAAACCAAGTACTGACATCATCTTAGTAAGGTTTGAACTGTCATTGTGTTTGCAAGGAGGAAAAAAAGCTGTTTCTAAACTATCCTTATATAGCACTTTAGAGCACTATCCATTTAGATGAGATCAGACATGTTCAGGGTGCTACGACTGTAGACAGAGCACTACCCACTTAGAATACTAAGTCCACCACAATGGATAAATAGCCAAATGATCTTTTCTCACATATTAAATACAAATAGCAAACAAATACATAAATTTAAAAATTATATAAAAAACTTATTTTAAAAAATATAAACAATTTTCGGCAAGGACCTAGGGCCATTTTGGAAAGCTAACTGGAAATGTGTATTAAGAATTATTAAAAATTTCATTCTTTGAACCAACAATTCCAAATGTGTCACTTTTGTGAAATAATCTTATGTAGGGAAAAAGATACTCCCTTTGCAGCCCACGATGTGTGGAGGGACACAGAGATATTCATCCAAAAATTATTAAAGATAATGGAAAACTATAAACAACTTACATTTTCTATAACAGAGAAATGGTAAACTAAAGCCCATCTATTCAATCTAATATTTAGTAGCCATTAAAAATGACTGACTTGAAGAATGTGAATAAATTAAAAACTGGTGAAAAAGTAAAAAATACATACAAAAAAGAAAACAGTGGTTTATATTACTAACAGTAATCTTTGTCTTTGTTGTTCTGTTTTCCAGTTTTTCTTTAATGTGCTTATTATAGTTTAAAATTAAAACAATAAGCTCAAGGGAGAAAAGGCTGTGCTACATTATTTTTAGTTGTAGTATTTCCATTTCACACACAAAACTCAAATCTTAAAAAGGTCATGGACTTATCAGAGAACTCAAGTCAAAAACAGAAGCCACCTCTTGTATTCTTAGTACAGCCTGTTCTGTTACAAATCTTACATAATACGAATTAGCCCATTGGTAAATAAAGGAATGATTTTAGTACAATGTAAGTCACATTGGTTTGTACATGATTCTTCTCAGCCTATGTTTTTGTACTACCAAATAACAACAGCTGAACCCAAAATAGGCTAACACAGTGGAAAGCAGCAAGCTGCTGAAAAGACAGTATGGTACACAATTCTCATTCAACCCATGTTCTTCTTCTTGGCACAGTTTGGCCACATGCTCTTTCTTGCAAGTGTTTAATGAGCTCTTCTTTCCAAATCTTTAGGCATTTTACCCTGGCCTTCATAATCCTGTACCTTCAACCCTTCCTCGCACCGTGTTCATCTTCTTTTAAAAATCCTAAACTAACCATATTACTTATTTGTGATAAATTTCATATATGTTTTAACATATTCTAGTATTCTCATTAAGATTTTTTTGTTAGTATTCTGGATACAAAGCTGCATATTTTTCACTTTTGAGTGAGCTGGCCCATCAGCTGAGCACAATTTTAGTGTTTTCAGGAATATATAAATATGCATTATTACTACAAAAAGATCTGTATATTTCACAATAAAATCAAGAAAACTTTCAATTTTATTTATTTTAAAAATTATAGTCTTATGAGAAACTGCATCTTAAAATGAACTGAAACCATTCACTAGCAGAGCATTAATAATATGCATGGTCAATTTGCTTCATAAAGCC